TAGTTCTCCTGGAGACGGTGTGCTCTTAATGATTTTATCGAGAGGTCTTTGTGTCTTTGCCCTGTTTTGCAAACTCAGCTTGCTGTTTCCAGAGGCCCTCTGTTGGCACCCTCGTCTGTGCTGCTCCCAGTGGCTATCGGCTAGCAGATCACACCCCCTCCTAACACTGGGTCAAGAGCTGAGCTCTTACCCGGTGGGTGGGTGGGAGGGCCACTCCCCATCCTGATGCCGCAGTCAGATGCTGCACTTCGGGGGGAGGCAGGTGGGCGGATCGCGCCCCCTCCCAGCACTGTGGTCAGGTGCTGCATTGCTGCCAGGAAGCAGGGTGGCTGCCCGCCCTCTCCTGGCACTGGTCTCCACTGCTCTGTGCTTCTGCCCGCTCCACCTCCGGTTGGCGCTCTGAAGGCGGGCTCGGGGAGGACCGCGGAACAGCCTCACCCCTGCTGCATGTCAAATCTCAGCTCCTTTTTTGTCTTGGTGGCACAAGTTCTCTGAGATGTAAGGGCAGAAAGATCCTCTCTGCCTCGGGCTGTAAGCAAGTCTCAGTCCTGCCTAGGAGGTTGCGGAGCACCCAGTGCAGATTCAGGTCTTGGCCCCGCCCCACCCAGGCACTCGCACAGGAGGAGATGGCTGTGGCTAAGCCCCGCCTCTCTTCTCGTGAGATGCGCCAGTAATGGCAGCGCTAGTCTGAGGAGACAAAGGCTATGGCGCCCCTCCCCCCAGAGCACAACAGCCGTGTTGCTTTGCTTTTTTCGCAATTTATGGGGGACCAAGGTTGTTCTGCTCCATATCCCTTCCCAGCCACAGCACACAGCACCCTGCAGTCCCCAGGGGCTGCCTCAGTGCAGCCGCCTCAGTCCTCCACCCGGCTCGGGCAGGCTGTCCCAGCCCCAGTTGCCAGCTTGCATCTCGGGCTGGGTGTCGCGGGGACCCTTTGTGCCCATTTAACTCAGTTCTCTGGGTCAGGGGTTGCTCAGGGCAGATCTGAGCCTCGGAGGCTCTCCCTCCATCCTGCTGGCCTCTCTGTTGGAGGGGAGGGACCCAGCAAACGAGCACCAGTCCTCCTTTGCTGCTCCCTCCCCACGGAACTGGTCCTGCACTGTTTTGCTTTTTCTTCTTTCTTTTTTCCTTTTCTCCTACCAGGTTTTTGGCATCTTTGTCTTTCAAAGAGGGCGATGTTCTGTTGGAGTTCAGCAGGTGCTCTGGTTGGCTGAGTAGGTCCATAGATGTGAGTTTTGGTGTATTTGTGGGAGAGGGTGAGCTATAAGTGTCCTACAAGCGTCCTTCTCTGCCATCTTGCTTCTCTCTCTGTATAAACCTTTAGAGATAGGATTTTCATTGTTTTTATTTTAATAAATATGATCAGAGAGGTAGGGTGGGAAAACTAGTAGTGTTTCATTAGCTAATATCATTGGGGATACAGTTGATACATTTTCAGGATTGTTGAGGCTTTAATTACTTTAAGCATGAAGTCTTTTATTTTATTCCTTTTAAAAATAGAAATAAAAGCAATCATATATATCTCTTCTTTCCTAAATAGCACTTGCTATTTAAGTTAGAAACTGAGCCATCATCTGGTACATCAGTTTTGATGTAGTTTTTGTGCTCCTTTGCCAAACAGCCCCAGTCAGTCTTCTAACAGTTTCTCTCTTTTTTTCCCTTAGCTAATGAGTGTAACTTTACAGTACTGTTTTCTGTCTGCCATAACTACTACCTCTTTCATTGTACTTTGCTTCCTCTAATCTTATGTGAACTGGAAAATAAAAGAGCCAAGCTGGGTTAGAGCTGTGAATAAAGTAAGAGAAAAATTGACAGTCAGGAGTCTCAGGCTGGTAAAGCAGATTCATTCTGAATTATCTCTTTTAGGGGCCCAGAGCTCCTTTCCTTTCTTTAGGATCTGCAGTTATGGTACAGGTGATTGAGCTGCTGGGAATATGATCTCTGAGTAAATAGAGTGTAGCACTTGTCATTGTTTTTCTTTTCTCTGCCTCGTAGGTAGTAAATGCTAAATTTCCTTTTCAGTCTTATATTAGAAATCTTTCAGATAAGCAAAAATCATAACCTTTTATTGCTTTCGTAACTGAAATCTGGCCATCCCAACACCATAGGTGTACTTTATGCCGTAAATGAAAAGTTGTATGAAAATTGAGGTTTTTTTTTAATTACATACTTGTAAATGCCTCCCAGACTATTTAAAGACATTCTGTGATGATTCCTTATAAATAAGAATAATCACTTACTAGTTTATTTTATTATGAATTTAGATTTTTAGTATTTTTTAACTTATCCATTATAACTTTTTTTGAGATTCTCTAAAGCAAGAACATTTCAAGGAAGTTTAAAGAATAGTAGAGAAAGTACAGCAACCATCAAAACCTAATATGATTTAAAATTCTAAACAATAGTGTTTGTAAAGTTTTTTGGAGTGACATGTTTTTAAAGTTCTCTTATATTTGCATAAACATTAGAGCTATTATTTTACTGTTGCTCAGTGACATTTATGGGAATGTTAACAAGCTAACCCTTTGTGGTGTAAGCTAGATTTGATTTGATGAGGTATCTGCAAAAGTTGTGAGAATTT